GAAAGGACAGGCAGGGTGACAGGCAAGGACAGGCAGGGTGACAGAGGAGGACAGGCAGGGTGACAGGGAAGGACAGGCAGGATGACAGGGGCAGGAACAGGCAGAGTGACAGGGGAGGACAGGCAGGGTGACAGGGGAGGACAGGCAGGGTGACAGGGGAGCACAGGCAGGGTGACTGGGGAGGACAGGCAGGGTGACTGGCAGCAACAAAGAGGGCTCTGGACGAGCTGGTGTTTCTGCTCCACGGTATTTTTGGCAGATCTTTCCTGCTTGGCCAGGGSCTGCGTGGGGTTGAGATCCCCACCCAGCAGCCAGGAACACGGCATCTCCTGCCCCGCGGGCTGGAGATTAATTGCTGCATTTTGGGAAGYGGCTGCGCAGCCCTGAGAGCTAATTAAATTGTGAAACAGTAGTCCAGATCGCTGCTCAAGGGCAAGGCCAGACCTTCTGGCTTCAGACGCACGGAGCTTTCTCCACCTCTCCCTCTGCACAGGCAGGAACTATRAAGTGCTCCAGAGGCTGAAAATAAAGGCACTGCGGCGCTGCTCGGTGCCACCGACGAGCACACGCAGCCCCAACAGGCAGCCCCGGAGCCCACAGCAGAGCCTTTATCACACCGAGCAGGGAATTACTCATTCTTCAGAGATTTAAATGCAATTGGGRCAGCGAGAGGAAAGCTGTAATTACATCAGCGCTCGCAGCCCTGCGGTGGGGAAGCTCACGCGTCCCGCAAGGACGGTCACAAAGGCGCCCKTGAACCCCGAGCACCAATGGGGCGGTGGATTCGGGTCACTCTCTGTGTCCCAACACTTGTTACTCCCAATCTTCCTAAGGGACGTGACTTCCCTCAGCCTSCTGCTGCGCCCTCCACTCCCAAGGGCAGCTGGAGAAAGCCCAGGGGCTGGAAGTAGAGGAGGTGAACATGTCTGAACCCTACGACAAGAACTGCAGAGACCCCCAGCTTTGCCACCCATTTCCTGCCTGACCTGGAAGAGGAACCCTTGAGCTCTGAGCTTCCTCAGCTCCCCAGCAGGAAAAATAGCAGAGCGCTGCTTCCCGAAGGCCGGGCTGGCTTCTCCAGGAGGCGGTGATGGCTCAGCCTATGGCCGTGCACGCAGCCCCTGGATAAGCTTTCACCGCGGCCCCCACATCTCCGCTATTTCTAGTGGTTCTTTTTTTTTTTTTTTTTGTTTTTTTTTTTTTTTTTTTTTTTTTTTTTTTTTTTTTTTTTCTAGAAACCGCTGCACAAAGCTCCGCTTGGCTCGCTGCCAGGACGTGCGAGTGCGTAGGGATGGAGCTGCTCTTCCAAAACTCTGCTCGGGAAGATGAGCTCCCTCGAGCCGATCTCTCAACGCCTGATTCAGACACAGCCCCCCAGCCCTCTCCTGCCCGTCTCTGACTCCCAGACCCATCTGGCAGCAGCGCGCTCCCCGCTAGCACATTTTCGTGCCTGAAAAAGCCAGACTAGCAGGCAAGAAGCAGCACAGAACCGGGGAAAAGCCGTCGCGGTCCCCATCAGCCAGCGAGCCAACGCTCCGGGCCACTGGAGCTCTGCCATGGGACCGCTGCGGAGCTCTCTRGGGCAGGCAGCAACCGCTACGGGAGTGCGTGAAACTTGGGATCGTTAYCCACATCCCAGCTACTCCAGGGCTGTGTTTGCATCCCAAAGCTGGGAGTCAACAGAAGAGCCTGWGCCTGTTTTTCTCCAGACTTTCAGTCTGGTCAGGGGGGTGTTTTCAGATGAAAAAACGACAAAAATCAAGTCGGGAAGCGCAGGAAAGGAGAAACATCCCGTAAGATCCTGCCTTGGCAGATATCACCGGGCGCARCCGCTCCCGACAAAAGACACCGACAGCCCTGGGGATGCCGCCCTGGGGCATCCCGCTCCTTCCAGTCCTCCCTACCCGCGGGATGCCACCCCCAGCCTCGGTCAGGACACCCCCGGGCACCCCCGGGCACCACCGGGGAGCCTGCCGGAGCCGAGCCGATCGGAACCGAGCCCACCCCGCTCCGCCGCGGCTGCAGCTCCTCCCGGCTGAGCCCCAAAAGCGGCTCCTCCCGCCCGGACTTTCTCCGGGGGTGCCCCTTCCAAGCCCCGCACAGACCGATGCTCCCCGGCGCGCTGCCTCCGCGGGGCCACCCACCTTCGAAGTCGGAGATGATGCCCTCCAGGTGGGCGCTGACGGCCGGGTCGGCCATGGCGGGGCGCGGGGCGCTGCCCCCCGGCTCCGCGGTGCGCGCTGCGGCCGCGCGAATGGCGGAGGGCGAGCGGCTGCGGCCGCCCCCCGCCCCGCCGGGCAGCGAGCCATGCCCCCGGCCCGGCCCAGCGCGGCCCGGCCCGGCACGGCCCCTCGCCGCGCACTGGCTGCTCCCCACGCCCGTCACGCCGCCCCCTCCGCCGCGCCGGCCTCTCTGCGGGGAGGTGGCCGGGACCCCCGCCCCGCCCCGATGGGTGCGGAGGGTGCGAGGGGCACCCCAGCGGGAGCCGGGCACTGCTGGCCCGCGGGCGAGCGGCGATCAGCGCGTCCCGCATCCCCCGGCCCCTGGCAGCACCGCACAAAGGGGGGCTGAGCGCCCCGAACCCGCTGTGCCCACCCCGCACGGAGCCCGGTGAGGGGTGACAGCCCGGGGTAACAACCGGCGCTGCCCCGGAGGGTGGAACCAGCCCCACACGGGGGTCACACCCCGATGTTCTCCAGCTCTGACGAGCCTTTCACTTCTCGGTTTACCCTTGTTTGGAAAGGGACAACTCGGCCACGCTCCTTTTTGTAATTCCTCAAAATCAAACCAGCACTGGAAGCAACTGCGCTAACCCACCGCTGCCAAATCCAAGCTGCCTGCTCTGGAAAACCATCGCTGCGGCAGCAGAAGGGGCTGCTGGACTTGTCCCGATGCTGAGCCCAGCTCTGAGCGCTCAGTGCTGCCGCAGCTCCCTCCACTCCAGCCCGTGCCGTCTCTGGGCATCCACACCAGCCCTTTCCATGGCACTGCTCCTCCTCCCCACCTCTCGCTCCCTCTCAGGTTGAGCATCTCGCTATCTGATGCTTCTCCCTTCCGGTGTTGATTCAGATCCTGACCTCTTGACCCTCTTTTTATCCTCCCCGCCCTGTGTTTTAATAACATCATTTTAAAGTGATGATACCCACTGAAATGTGTCCAGGCACATCAACAGGAAAGGAAGAATGAGTGGGTTGGGCTTTTAGTCCACTTTGGGTGAACCATAAAGGAAAATTATGTTAAACAGAAGCACAGTTATTGTCTGTTACTGCAGAAAGTACAGACTTCACCACTGATGTCACCCTTTTAATTTCACACGTTTAAAGTCTGCAAACACCACAGACTTCCCCTGAGTGTACACGGACCAGAAAATGAAACCAACAGTCCCAATTTCCCAGACTCAACAAGCTCCAGGTTTTCTGTAGTGTCCAAGGAAAGGCATTACTTAAAAACAAGAGAACYGTTTAAATAACCTTGAGAACACATTTTACAACAGACTTTCAGGTACTTTCAGATAGGTACAGCAGGTTTCTTCCCCTCTGGCAGACGGCAGCGCTCAGCTCTTTCACTTCTTACTCTCCTCAGAAACCACGGGACTAGAGCAGTGCAGGCAGGAACAGCTCTGCATCTCTGTGCATCACAGAATGGAAAGGAAATGCCTCCCCACGCCATACACTGCCGGTAAAACTCCTCGGTGTCATCCTGTCTGACACCATCAGCTGTTCCCGGGGAGAATGGGGATGACCATGGACCTGTGACTCCCTGACACTGAGCTCAGTGCTGGATCCTTGCTGTACCCGTCTCACATCGTACAGCATCACTGAGAGCTGGCCCACATCCCTTGCAATGATTTTTGAAAGAAAGTATCTTTCTTTTTCTCGAGCACTCATAGGCAGATCGCATACGCAATCCATTTCCAGCAGGTAAAAATGTTACTGTCAATAATTAACTTTGTTACTGAGTGAGCAAAAAAACCACTTTGTTAAAAACCACGGGCGACTTGCTCGCTGCAAGAACAGAATCTGGATTAGCCTTTTGCAAAGTCTGTTAAACATTCTGACTCCACCCTCACCATGAAGTTGTAGAATGCATTTCAAGCGAGGGAAAAAATGAAATGAGCAAGACAAACTAAAAATTATTATTGTAAAGAAGATTTTAAAAGTGCAATCTGARGAAGGACCAAGSAYRTTTYTTGATGTTCAGAGTCTCCTCCCTTKCAAGTCCCAYAAGATTCAGTGTGAGATCCCTTGCTTGGAGTTTGGTGGCTCTCTCTGAACGAGGTCACGCAGGAATTGGTGAGATGCTGTGATTGGGACTCTGTTTTTGAGGTCAACAGGAAGAAAGAAGTAAACCACTAGAAAAAAACCCCAAAACATTGCTTGATGRACTGTGATAGGGAGCATCACAATGACGTCTGCCCGTCCCATGGAGCTGGTGAAGGACCTCAAAGCACTCCAGCAGAAGAGTTTGGGGCAGTTTGGGTCAGTCCCAGCTCCCTGGTCACTCTGCATTTCCCAAGCAAAGGCAATTTATTGTCCTGGATCTAATAAAAGTTCAGCAAACCGAGCAGCCGAGAGGAGAGCCCCAAAAGTGTGAAATAAAATATCCGGGCTATGAGCAGGAGTTCCTTTTCATTAAAAACAGCTGGGTCATATTGCACCCATGTGCACCTAAGGCGCTGAGAGGGGGAGAGAAAGMTGGAAAATCACAGCAACTGAAGAATAACGAGAATATCCAGAGCTCTAATAGTAAATATTTAAAGCAGGAAGGTATGTAAACAGCTCACCCCATAACACACACCCCAAGTGCTTGCTCGTAGAWGAGGAGCAAGCTTTTCTCCAGGGAGATAAGCCCATCCTTCTCTCTCTTGCAGACTTTCTTGCCCTTTTATCTCATTGAGCCGTGTCAGGGGCACAGCTTTACATGAACGTCAGACCAGAAAAATCATCCCCTTGTCCAAGCTGTCCTTTTCATCTGCTTTTCTACCTGCATCCTCAACCCAAAGGCTTATGTTTAGCTAAAACCTTCTTCCAGAAAGTCAGAAAACCCTGGGAAGCTGAGCCCTCATTCCAGAGGGATGGAGACCCTGCCTCCTCCCCTGGAATTGTTTTTTTTTTGTTTCCCTGTCAGCACAGCACTGGTGTATGTTGTACTGCCCTGCTTCACCATTTCCCGGTAGATCGAGGAGATTGAGGACCCTGGGACTTCTCCTGATGGAAGATCTCCCACACTGATCACATCACCCACASTGCCTTTGATAAAGTAATCAGGTTCTGCTCCTTCTATCCTTGTGGCAGGTATTTTCTTTAGTCACTTATCCGGCTTTCCTGCTCCTTTCTTCCGACATATCACAAGGGTTTGTCATCAGGTTTTAATTTTTATCTTAAAAGAAAACAACCTCACTTTTTTAAAAGAAAGGGAGCAGATCACATCTCTCTATCACTTACTGCTCCCTTTGCTTACAGTGAGGGTGTCACTCACTGTTTTTACTGTACCTCACCTCAGGCTCCTGGTTTGAAAAGATCTCTGGGATACTCTACACAGCAACTGCTGTCCAGGATATAATCCCTTCTCTTCAAAGCACTGGCTGCAGGAGAATTTTAGGTAAATATTTTCTTCACTATGTTACATTAGAGTAGAAATATTTCTTGTTTCCTTACTATCCCAGGCSACCACTGACTGCCCAGCCCTTTCTCCTTCACCATCGCTCTGCTCTTCAGATGAGCAATAAACTTCCTGCAAAGTTGTTTTATTGGCCTAGAAGTGGTTTCCTGCACCCAGAATAAAATCTGTAAAATCTGCTGATCACCAAGTTACAGATACCAAGCTCAAATTGGATTGGTGCCACAAGAGCTGGCAGATGCAAGAAACTTTAACCCTTTACCAGCTGGGTGCTTCACCCCTGGGCTGTCCTGCCCTGCAGCAGGGWTGTGCCTTGAGAACTCCCCAGATCTCAGCTCCAACTCCTCCAGAAGCAGCCAGTGTTGGGCACAACCTCTGTGCCACTATGGGTGTTGGGGACCACAAGGCAACCACAAGGTTTAGAAAGTCACTTCAAAGAGACAAAATCAGAAGGAAAAAAAAAAACAAATCAAGGAGATGTAGGTATCATCTTTAGAAGATCCCTTAAGAGGCTAAGGCAGAATAGGGACTTTCTTATCCAAACTCATTTCAAACAGCTCTGTGCAGTTTCTTTGCAGGCTGCTAAGAATGCAGTTTTTCAGGCAGATTTTCTTCCTCCCACAAGTCAAGGTTTTTCTGAAGCCGGCAGTCTTTATCAGTCTCACAATCTGCTGCAGTCATGAACATCRGGCTGTGTTAGACAGGGCCATGAGTCATTGTGGCTACCTGAGCCTTCAATTATCTCCTACACAAAACTGGGTAATTCATCCACAGGATCTTCCCCTTCCTCCTCGCATTTTAATTAGAAAACAAAAYTCTTCATTGATTCTGGCCTCTTCCATAAAATACCTCGATACTTACTGACCAAAATTACTATGTCGGCACATCTAAACATCATTATTATTAACCACTTAATGTTCCTATTGAGAGCCCAAAYCCCTTCTCTCTCTGCTGATCCCGGGTGAAAGTTCCTTCCAAGCCTTCATGGGAGGTGCAGGGTGTGGATGGAGGCACGGTGAGATTCCAACCCCAGCGTGCACTTCCAGCTACCCCCTCCCCTGGGCAGCACCAAGGGACACACAGGTTTATAACAACCCAGATGAGGCACATTTTGAAGCTGRAGGGAAGGTGAGTCACAGTTCCTCTCTCCGAGCCGATAAATAAAGGCTGTTGCCATTTCCATCCCCTCGGCTCCTCTGCTCCCTGCAGCCACTGAGCTCTGGCACTGCCTCTGCCCCAAAACCATCTCTGCTTCCAACCCACCTGGGAGAGCTGCAGTCACCTCCATGCGACAGCTGGGGAAACTGAGGCAYGGAGCAGATRTCACTCAGGATCAGAGAGCTGGTAAAAGCACAGCAGGCTGTGCAGGGAGCAGTGCTGGCAGCCCCCGGCTCCTCGGGAGTGCTGCTGTCACTGCCTGGGGACGAGGGGAYTCGGAATGGAAACCAGAGCTGGTTCCCATCACCTCCGCCCAGGGTTCCACRGGGATGACGGCGTGAATCCAGCCCCGATTACGCAGGAATTGTCACGAGRAGAGGCTCCTTCCCAAGAATCCAGGATCTTCCTGCTTCCGAAGGGTAGGAAACACGGGGAGGACGGACGCACTTCAGTGCTGGTCACACTTCCCTTCCTCAGCAA